ACCGGGGGAGAGGCCCCCCCCCCCCCAAAAAAAAGGATGTTCCCCGGGCCACGTGAGCATAGCATCTCTTCTACCGCCAAACAGGTCTTGCCCGAGGCACCGCTTCCACAACGTCCCCAAACTGATACGAAAACCCACCTGCGGGAGCTCCGGGCCCGCTCTGCCCCCCTGCAGCCGGGGACTGGACCAGCGCTGAGCTGCTCGCCCGGATTACAAGGTATTTGCACGGATACTGCTGCGCGGCCACCGCAGCATCTGCATCAACGGAGCAAGGAAAAAATATGGTACCGTACAGAGGGACGGAGATGCCCGGGGATGGGAAGGGAGCAGAGACGACCTCCAGGAGCAGCTGGAGCCCGTTCCCCAGCCCAGGCTGGTTACCGCACTGCGGCGGCCGGCTGGGAACCGTCGGCGAGAGAAGCTTCAAACCCTCTGCCCGGCACGTGTACGACTGCCTCTGCCTTGCAAAATCCCCCCCAGGCTCGTCCTGCAAAGCCTCCTCCACCCATCTCCGGGGGCTGCCAGCAAAGCGGTTCATGGTCCCTGCAGCACCAAGGGAGAAACTGAGGCACGCTGGCGAGGGGATCCGGCCAGCGAGGAGCAGCTCCCCCAAGCCTCAGGCTCACACCTCGGCGAGCATCCCAGTCCCTTCCCCGGCAGCACCGGGGGCTGCGCAGCCGGAGCCCCCGCTCTCCCACGGCGCCTGATGACCCACGTGTGGAAACATCCAGCCCTGGGAGCTTCCCAGGCCCGGGATCCAAAAGAAGCAAAATAAATCTATTTCCTGCAGGATAAAACCCATTGGCACTCCGGGACACGGGAGTTCCCGCCGGCTCCTAAATCCCAGCGGGATGCACCGACTCGGGGTGCCGTGCTCCCCCCCGTCAGCGCCCCGAGGCCCAGGCTGGGTCGCATCCTGCCCCGGCGCGTGGGAGGGGAACAAACCCGGCTTTATTCTCGCCGCTTTGACCCCCGGGAAGAGATGAAGTCACCGGCCCCGGCACCAAACGTGGCTTTCTTAGGCCGGGGCGCTGGGGTCACGCTGAGCTGGGGGCACGGAGCGGGGTGCGCAGGATGCAGGCAGGGCATCCCTGCCTGCGCACCCCAAAAACCACCCAGGTATTTATGAATTCATCGTATCGATTCGGGGCCATCAGCGGCCACCACTCCCAGCCCTGCTGTCAGCAGCTCAGAATATTTTGGGAAGGAGGAGCCGA